CTGCTGAAAGGAAGTAGTAAATGAATTTGTTAGCTTGTTTCACTTTCATGTGCAGATCCTGCTTTAGCTGTTAAATGTTTTCTCACTTTTACCTTTCTGATTCTCTCCCCCATTGCACTATTGAGGGAGTGAGTGAGTAGCTGTGTGGTATTGAGGTGCTTTCCAGGGTTAACCCATAGCACCATGACATCTTGCGTATTAGTTGCTTGGCTGTTAGTTGCTTTGGTATTAATTTAGATGATATATGTAGATACTACTTGTTTGGTATAAGTTTTGATTACTGAGATTTCCTGTAGAAGATTTAAAGTGACTTTAGTTGATGTTTATTTTTTGTGTGTGTTTGGTGGTGTTTTTTTTCTCCCCAGAGACAACAAATCTTCTAGCTTCTTATCAACCTATTGCTGTCCTCAGCCAAACACAATTGTGGAAAAAGCTTTTTTGTGCACAATCACAGGCTTTATAATTCCTGAGAAGATAATTCAGTTACTGGAGCAGCTGTGGTAAGGACTGACAGGAGCATATTACTAAAACACTTGTACTCTAACACTTTAATTTTTTAAATGTCTCTTACATACTTCTTTTCAGTAGTGCTGTTAGAGGTAAATAGCAAAATACAAAAAATTAAGAGGTTTTTTAATTAGGAAATGAGCAGGAAGCTTAATATTGATATAATAAAGCAATAAACAATTTTGGATACTTTAAATTTGAAAATGCCTGCCCCGTATTTTAGTAACGAATTTGCTTTTTGTCTTAATTTCTAAGAAACAGTGTCTCTGCTGAGCTCCTGCATCTTTCAAATTCCCCGTCTATGAAAATCAGATGCTCTCAAATACATCTCATTTAGTATTTTTAACTACTGATGTGTCCTGTGTTCAGCTGTAACTGTTATTTTTCTCCTTCTTAGTAGCTGGTACAGTGCTTTGTTTTCAGCTGTAGTCTGAGAACAATGCGGATAACACACTGATGTTTTAGTTGTTGCTAAGTAATGCTTACCACAATCAATGACTTTTCAGTCCCTCATGGTCTGCCAGTGAGGAGGGGCATAAGAAGCCAGGAGGAAGCAGAGACAGGACACCTGACCCGAACTGGCCAAAGGGGTATTCCATACCACAGCACGTCATGCCCAGCATAGAAACTGGGGGGAGTCACCTGGAAAGCCAGATCACTGATTGGGTTGGGCTGGGTATTGGTATTGGTCGCTGGGTGGTGAGCAATTGTATTGTGCATCACTTGTGTTTATTGGTTTGTGGGTTTTTTTCTTCCCTTTTTAGTTTCATATTCTCTCCCCTTGTTATTTCCCTTATTATTATTGGTGGTAGCAGTAGTAGTTTTGTATTATAGTTCAGTTATTGGACTGTTCTTATCTCAACGCATGGGATTTACATTCTTTTGATTCTCCTCCCTATCCCTCTGGGAGCTGGGGTTGGGGGGAAAGAAGATGGAGAGTGAGTGAGTGGCTGCATGGTTCTGACTTACTGGCTGGGCTTAAAACCACGGTATAGTGGAAAATATGATTGAAATCTCTTTATGATACCAAAAGTCTGCCAGTGAGGAGGGGCATAAGAAGCCAGGAGGAAGCAGAGACAGGACACCTGACCCGAACTGGCCAAAGGGGTATTCCATACCACAGCACGTCATGCCCAGTATAGAAACTGGGGGGAGTCACCTGGAAAGCCAGATCACTGATTGGGTTGGGCTGGGTATTGGTCGCTGGGTGGTGAGCAATTGTATTGTGCATCACTTGTGTTTATTGGTTTGTGGGTTTTTTTCTTCCCTTTTTAGTTTCATATTCTCTCCCCTTGTTATTTCCCTTATTATTATTGGTGGTAGCAGTAGTAGTTTTGTATTATAGTTCAGTTATTGGACTGTTCTTATCTCAACGCATGGGATTTACATTCTTTTGATTCTCCTCCCTATCCCTCTGGGAGCTGGGGTTGGGGGGAAAGAAGATGGAGAGTGAGTGAGTGGCTGCATGGTTCTGACTTACTGGCTGGGCTTAAAACCACGGTATAGTGGAAAATATGATTGAAATCTCTTTATGATACCAAAAAGAGTATCATAAAATCAAGTGCAATGTAGGACACTGGATAGTGATGAACAGGGTAGCTGTAGATCTAATTCAATACTAAACTACATGATATTAGTGTATCATGGATCAGTGTGGTATGATTCTGTGTCTGTCTGTATTGTATATTAGGGCTCCTGATAGTAAATTCTGGAAGCTCCTTGCTCCATGTGTGAGACAGTGCTTGAAGTGCCTGGTGGCTAACAGTTGCAGCACTGACTCATGACAATATTGCTGTTGTTTTATCTGCAATATGATCATTACTCTTTAAGCAATTTTCAAATCTCATGCCTCCCTGGGCTAGGCTTAGAACACAAATTTCCTTGGCTTTTATTCTCCTCTTAAGAGCAGCGGGTAATGTCTGGCTTTGATTATCTGTAATCCGTTTCCTTCTTGGTGGTAAAAATATTTGTGTCGTCATAGCCTGACTATGTTTCTTCCTCCAATGTCATTTTTCCCTGATAGCAGCTGTTGATAGTAAATGTTTTAATTTTCTGAAAGACAATGCGTGCTGTAGGAATTTGAGAACAGCTACTTTACAACTTAGAACTTCTTCTAACTGCTATAACTTGCAGGTTTGCCATGTCTAAAAGTGTGGTAGGAATAATCTTCTTTTGTTTCTGAATGTCTTCTGATGGAATATTTTCTTTTGAATTTATGTATCATGGACTAAAATAGGTTCATTTAACTGATAATTATAAATTTCCACTGAAGTGCCTGTCTTTGTCTTTTTGTACTTGATATTGTATACTTGAACATGCTGTCTATTCAATTGTAATTATTAATTACCTTGTCTTCTTCCTTGCAGTTGCTATTTTGGTGAACCAAAACTGGCGTATTGGTTGACCTTAACCGTGCATGGCTTTGCAGACAGCCCTGTTTCCTGGAGAGAAAGTGAACATGGTTTCCACAAGGGAGGAGAAAACTTGTACAACTTTGTCATTTTTAGAAATCTGGACTACTGGCTTCAGATGGCTGTAGGAACTAATGATGATTGTCCTCCATAAAGCTACCTACAGAATTTGTTTTCTAATAATTCCATGTTACTGTATAGAAACCTAATAAGAGAATTTTTATAAAAGGAATCAGGTAACAAGTTAAGTACTAAAAGGCTGTATATGTTTTTCCATTATTTATAGCCTTTAAAGGATGACCTACAATGGAAGGAGTGGATTTTTGCTTCTTCACTGTCATACAGTGCCTTCTGAAAGACTTCACAGTTCTAGGTTTAAGAAGATGTTTTTGAGAGTTGTAAGCACTCAGGAATTGACTGTAGGTGGTTTCCTTTTATCCAGGAGTAATTTTGGAATTTGGGAGTTAGTTTTACAAATTGCTAGCTAAAATATTTGTGAGGAAAGCTCATTTTGGGATTTAGTGTTTTCTTTCTTTACATTAAAGATCTGTAAACCCTTCAAATTCATGTTTTAGACATTTCAGCCTACGTGTTGGCAAATAAAGAAAAGGTGAGGAGAAGGAGGTATATGACAGGGGGAGGAGCACCCATTAAGTGTGGAAAAAGGGAAGGCTTACTGCTGACCTGCTTTTTCGATTTAGCACATCATGATCGTCCAAAAGAAGTTAATTAACAATGATGCAAAAGGCTGCTGCTTACTTTCTTAACTGACCTACACACACTCACACCACCACGACCTCAAAAAAATCCCAAACAACTCTACTTTTTATTTTAAAGTAGCTTACGGTTCTTGCTTACAAGACAACTTGTGGAGATTTCACTGTCATGTTATTGAAGACACATTTCTGGGAAGAGTGCTGTGGGCATACCTCAAACGATGCAGTTGAAGTGAAATGGGTTTTGTTAACAATAAGCAGCAATGCTGAGCAGCGCACAGGCAGCTATAAAGAATGCAGATTAGCTCCTGTTGAAATCAGTGAGAGGTTGGATGGTGGTTTGGAGGATGGGTGAGGTTGGGGGTTGTTTTGTTTTTGTTTTATGGAATGGGTATGTATCATTGAAGTACCAGTGCAGTGCTAAAATGGAAGTTGTCCGCTTGATGGAGCGAGAGATTGGTAGTGGAAGTTAGAGCATATCTGTAGTGGAAACATCAAGCTCTCCTACCAGGGCGAGTGGCACAGAAAAGCAGAAGGACCATGGGAAGCAGCTGATCTTTGTTTTTTCATCTGTTTATTTGCTGTATTCAGTGGGGAGAATCATCTTGGATGATTTACTGGATAGTATTTGTCATAGACTTCCACTAAACACAACCCCTTTTGCTCAACTTTGAAACACAATTCTGATGATTCAGCAGTTTTCTAAATCATTATATTGTTTTTAAAAATTATCCTGCCATGAGATGTTCCTAGTAGGTTATCAGGAGCAGAGATGCCACCTTGTCTCATGTACAGCCATAGTCGCATGATCACAAACCAAATGAACAAGAGTCTGGGAAACTTCTTGGCTTGACCCTTTACAAGTAAATAGTTAACATGGCTGGCTCAAACATTATGTTTCATTATTATGTGTCAGTGCAAATGGCTTCAGTTGTTGGCTAAAGTCTGCTTTTGAAAATGTCTGTGGAGAGATTATGCCATGTGTCAACTTTCACGAAAGACACTAGTAACCAGGAGTGTCTTCCTTTTTCCTCTTGATCAGGTCTCTTAAAAGCTTGGGTTTCCCTGGAAACAAAAGTTCTAATGCAAAGCTAAAAATCTTCAATCCTTATGAAAAGTTGAATGAAGTTTGTAGCTGCTCCAGTGAATGCACTCATCTTTCTGTCAGATTCTAGTAAAATTTTACTCTGACAAAGCATGATGTATACTGCTTGGGGAAAGAAAAATGCCACCTGGAAGTAAGAATCTTGTATTGGTGGATTTGTTTCTTTCATTAACCAAGAAGAAGGAGTAAAATCTTACGCATATGCTTCATAGTAGTCCCAGCAGGAGTGCAGCAGCTGTAGCTCTGAAGTGGTAGCAGTAGGACCAGGTGAAACGATTTTTCTAATTGGCACCTGATTGCAGAGCACCTTGGGATGACTGGTGTAGTAGCTGCTGCAGCAGTGCTGGTGGGTGTGTGGTGGTAGTTTCACTGGGATGATTCTGGAAGGCAAGCTGAGAAGTAGGTATTTCAGCAATATCAGTTCTCCCAGCATGTGAGTATTAATGTGAATCTTTTACGGAAATCTAGGGAAATCTCATCAGATTGGTCAACAGCTCTCTTTGCCTCCTGTTTACATGGGCAATGGGCTGTAAATGTTTCTTAAAGCTCAGTGTTAGAGGCAGTCATTTGGCTATGCTGTTTCCTACAATCCTCGTTGTCTTCAGATGTTTGTTTCAAATGGCTTTTTTCGGTTAAGGAGGGGATTAAAATATTGTCTCTGAATCCGGTAACTTGAGGTGCTTAGTAAGTTTCTAGCTTTTCTTTGTTTTCTTTAAACCTAAATTAAAGTATCATTGAAAGAAAACCTTGTGGTGTTAGTAGTCACTGCAGTTGTCTACTCCTGCCCTCTGTGAGGTGATACTGCATTAAGCAAATTCATGCTTTCCTGGCAAGGTCCAGAAGTGTGCCTGCCTGTTAGGAGGCAAGCTTTCCCATGTTTGCTGGGCTTTGTAATTGCACAGAAGAGAAACTGGAGGGTGGAACTGACTTCTTTCTTACCACATGCAAACAACTGTGACCTGAGGGAAGATTTTCCTGGGATGAGGGATAGCAGCCTGTTTCCTATGGACCGTAAGGATAGAGGGAGCATTGTTTCTCCCCAGGAGACTCAAGCATGGAGGAGACCCTTGCTGAGAAAAGGAATGGGGAGCATAGCTCACTTCCTTGGGGAGCAGGTTAGGAGGGAAGATCTGGGGCTGGGGCAGGTGAGCAGTAATTCAAGGAAGAATTGGGCAGGGCACATGATCTTTAAGGTCCTTTCCAACCCAAACTGTTTTATCATTCTATGATTCTGTGAGATAGAGATAAAAGTCTTTTCCTGAGAATGATAGATGGCTGCTGTTGTTCTTGCCCTTTGTGCCTGTCTGTGAGGGAGGACAGGAAAATGCAAAAGATTCCCAGGAGCTGCAAAAGTAATGGGGAGCAGCTGTGCACCAGCTGCTTCTGAGATCAAAGGGCTGAGTGCTCACTAAGAAGTTTTGCCTCTGGGGAGCGTTTTATCTAGCATGGGGAAGGAGAGCCAAATACCTGAATGCAGAGACAAGCCTGCGGTAAGCTGGTTGCATGATGAGTAAAGGGGGGTTTTGTCCTGGTATGTGTACAGGCAGTGATAAGACAGTCCTTGAGAGCTAGGGAACTGCTTTGCTTTAACCTCAGCCCTTTTGCTGAGTTGTGCATTCCTGTCTCCACTGGTGGAAGGAAATTTTGTTGAGAGGTTGCTGACGGGGAGACGAAAGCAGCTGAGAATGGGCTGCAAAGATCACGTACTTTTCCAGCCACATCTTTGAGTTAGTGGTTATGCGTATTCAGAAATTGGTGGGTGTGGAACAAATAGGGAACAAACTTTCATGTTGACGAAGGAGAGATAAGAGCTGAGGCAGTTGGATAGTGTGTGTGTTATGCAAAATCAGTTTAAATAGAATATATCTGCCTTCTTGGTTTGCTGACTGAGTCAGGAACCTGTTAGGGAAATAAAGGTATGTATCCCCTAATGGCAAGAATGGGAGCCCAACAGTGGTAGTACTATTTTGAGTGAGGAAAGAAATACCAGCATGGAGGGGCTCTAAGAATGAGATAAAGACACAAAAAAGAACTTTGACTGTCAGATTCTAGAGATGCTGTTGTTTCAGAGAGAAAGCAGAAAGATTCAGCACAGCCTAGATCTGGGGAATGCAGGAGAGACAAGAATGAGTGTTAATCTAAGGCTGCTTGAAAGGGAGCTGACAGGGCTTAATGGAAGAAGTATGTGCTTTGTTTTGGCTGCATCATGCTGTTGTTTACAGGGAAATATCTATTTTGAAGAGGCTAGCCAAGATTTAAAGTTGGATGTCTTGGAAAAAGCCAACAAGAAAGAAACAGGTTCATATGTCATCAGCCTGGGGATTGCATAGCAATGGTGGGAGTCGGGGAGATTGCTCAAAGATGGGCAATAATGTTCTTGTTGGAAGTAATTTGTGTGCTTTTTATTATCCCTTGCTACAGGGAGGGTTTTTGGTTTACCTGTAAGGTTTCAGAGAGCATTATAGAAACACAAAGATTTAAAACTGTCTTGAGGTAGGTTGGGTGACCCTGATATTGCTGTTAATTGCAATTAGAAGTTGGGCTGCTCACCCAATGCTGTGGAGCCAGGGTGGAGTTTTGCCCATTGGGAGAGTGCCCCTGCTACAACTACTGCAAAAAGAAATGGTAGGGCAGACAAAAGCTAAAAAGGAAAATGAATGCTTAGAGGAGTATTTCTTTTTGCCTGTCATGGGAGGGCCATAGCAAATCAGTGGCTGATCTGGGATTAGAATGAAGGCTTTTTATAGCTAGTCCAGTACTCTAGGTACTAGATTATATATAGTTCCTCTGATGCTGTTAATTAAAGATTAATGCATGCAACTGACTTTAGAATTTCTTTATGTGGTAGCTATAGTGGAACATGCTTGAACTGTTTCTCTTAATCATTTTTATTCACAGAGTAGAGCTTGAACAAAACTAGAGACTAATTCATTTAGTTATTTAATAAATAACCACCTTCTGAATATTAACAAGAATTTCAGAAGTATCTACTATAAACCAAGGCAACTCTTAATAAACGAGTGGCTTCTATTTCATCCTTGGAAGTTGCTTCCATCACTGCTTAAAAATATTTGTTTTAATGCATCTATATATAGGGGCAAAAAAGGGGGAGCTAAAGTGACTTGAGCAGTTTTCAGCTTTCCAGAGAGCAAGGTGCAGGGTGCCTTGGCTATGCCAAATTTCTTTTAGCTGGCTGTTTTAGAACAGTTTATTGGGCTTTAGTTGATAGAACACGGTTATGTTTTACATGGGTAATTGAAGAATATCCTAAGCAGTAGTATATGCTGTTCTGTCCCCTGACTGTGAAATACAGGTAACTATTGATACTAATATTACTGTTGTTGTCTAAGCCGGATGTTTTGGTTCACTAGATACCAACAATCTGTATGCATAGTATGCTGGTAGGGTTGGAGAGAATGCAAATGGACTA